ACAATAGATATCTACCCTCTACCAGGATACACAGCAATTCACAACTGCAGACCAAACCAAGTTGGGGGTGGTATTGTAATCTATTACTCTAACCAATTATCTTGTATTAGTACCACTTGCTTTAGTGATGAATATGGGGAATACATTTTTGCTAATTTTACTGTAAAAAACCTTAAGACACCTATAACAATCGGTGCCATTTACCGGATACCTCACACAAACATCCCAAATTTCAGTGAGAAATTAAAGTCACTAATAACAAACAGACAAATGAATAAGCACCACCTTCTCTTAGCCGGAGACTTCAACATCAACCTTGGCTTACTAGATGATCAGCCTGTAACTGATTTCATCAACAATATGAACAACACACTTCTCATACCAACAATAACTAAACCAACAGGCTCACTGAGACAAGTGCAACCATAATAGACCACATATGGACCAATATACTAGCCCCCCTTAAATCAGGGATAATCACAGATAGCACTACAGACCACTACCCTACCTTCCTCCTGACAAACATTAGTAAACCACCACTTGAATACAACAAAGTCTCATTTAGACTCCATGACGAGGCCTCAATAAGGAAGTTCACAGCTGACCTAGAGATTGTTGACTGGCCTACAGAATTCTCCAAGGCCAATGGTATTGATGACTGGACAGACATTTTTCTTAACAAATAGACTATACAACAAACATTGTCCTATAAAAACGAAACAGATCACAAACAAACGGCTTGGTTGCCCATGGCTAACCAGCACCATTCTGAAATCCATTGACAAGAAACACCAAAATGAAAAGCAATATAGACAGGGTTTAATACACGAAGATATTCTTAAACACTATTCATCAGTTCTCACCAAAGTAATAAAGAAAGCCAAACAACTATACTACTCCAGTAGATTCACAGACACAAGAGGAGATATAAAAAAGACCTGGAAAACACTCTCTCAGATTCTAGGGACCCACAAACTGAAAAAAACCAAGAATATTGTCCTAACTAAACCTAATGAAACACCACTACATCCCAATGACACAGCTAACAAGATAAACGACTTCTTCTCAACCATAGGATCTAATCTCGCCAATAAAATCCCACATACCAGTGCCCATGCCGGGGACTACCTAGATGGGAATTTCCCAAATTCCTTCTATCTTGCACCAACTGAGCCCTCGGAAGTCACTGAGATTATAAAATCACTTAAAAACAACTCAAGGAATCTGTCTAATGTCCCACCATTACTGTACAAGCGAGCAGCCCACATCCTTTCACATGCTATTTCATTACTTTTTAACAAATCACTAGAAACTAGCACCTTCCCGAAACTACTCAAGATGGCAAGGGTTACACCAATACATACAGGTGGTGACCCTACAGACTTAAACAACTATAGGCCAATATCAAACATACCATTGCTATCCAAAATCTTTGAGAAACTCGTGCACAGGAGACTATATTCATTTATAACAGCACAAAACATACTCAACCCCTGCCAATTTGGATTTAAGAAAAATAAAAGCACTAATGATGCAATCATAAAAATGCTAGATCTGCTTTACACAGCATTGGAAAATAAGGAATATTCACTAGGAATTTTTATTGACCTAAGAAAAGCTTTTGACACAGTAGACCACGACATCCTACTCCACAAACTTGACCATTACGGTATAAGAGGCCATGCGCTTGCTTATTTCAAATCTTACCTTACTAATAGGTATCAGTATGTTACCATTAAAGACACAGCATCAACAACACGGCCACTTGATACTGGAGTTCCGCAGGGAAGTGTCCTTGGTCCCCTGCTCTTCCTCGTATACATCAATGATCTTCCAAACGTATCCCAACACCTGAAACCCATTCTCTTTGCTGACGACACGACTTATGTCATCTCTCACCCTAATCTTGCCACCCTCAACACCATTGTTAATGAGGAGCTGATCAAAATATCGACTTGGATGACAGCCAATAAACTTACGCTTAACACTGACAAAACCTACTGTATTATGTTTGGTAGCAGAGCAGGAGATGCACAAATTAACATTAAGATCGACAACACTCTAATTACCAGACATAATGAGGGCAAATTCCTAGGCCTATACCTTGACAACAACCTGAATTTCAGCACCCATATCCAACACATAACCAAAAAGTATCCAAAACAGTTGGGATCCTCTCCAAGATACGATACTACGTGCCGCAAAATGCCCTTGGCACACTATACCACTCACTTATTTATCCATACCTCACCTATGCTATTTGTGCTTGGGGATGAACTGCAGCAACACACCTAAAGCCAATAATAACCCAACAAAAAGCTGCAGTAAGAATAATCACTAAATCCCATCCCTGGCAACACACCCCCCCACTCTTCATAGATCTAAATTTACTCCCTGTTCAGTACATCCACACTTACTACTGTGCAATCTACATCTACAGGACCTTAAACTCCAATATCAACCTTGACCTAAAACGTTTTCTTGATAGTTGTGACAGAACCCACAGGCATAACACCAGACACAAACATCTCTACGACATTCCCCGTGTCCGACTAAACCTTTACAAAAATTCAATGTATGTCAAAGGCCCTAAAATCTGGAACACCGTACCTGAGAACTCTAGAACTGCAGACACATTCATCACCTTCAAAACTACCATTAGAAAACATCTTAGCTCCCTGATACACCCCATCAACTAACTACACGAATACCACCTGGTGGTTCACACTTTCACTCACCCATTTGACCATAAACAGAAATATTAATCTCAATCTTAAAATAATGAATCCTATGATACTCCAATACTGAAACTATGTACTGTGCCAAAACAAAAGCATTCACATTGCTAAACTCACAAACTAGCATTTAGTCAGCCATAATACCAACTTACCTCATAATTTGTAATATTTTAAAATAAAGAATTAAACTAAGTCTGCCCGAAATGCCTAGCCATGCTAGGCGTTCTAGTGGTACACTCTGTAATCATTATTTAACTACATGTAAACCACACAACAACCAAATTCTGTAAATTCAACATTGTAATCTTTATAGAGAATAAACTTTGAATTTGAATTTGATCTCTGCAAAAACAGTGATTATGTGTGATTGAGGTGAAAGTGTTGAATAATGATGATGAGAGTACAGTAGACCCTCGGTTTACGATATTTCATTCCAGAAGTATGTTCAGGTGCCAGTACTGAACGAATCTGCTCCCATAAGGAATATTGTGAATTAGATTAGTCCATTTCAGACCCCCAAACATACACGAACAAACGCACCTATATAAATACACTTACACAATTGCTCGCATTGGGAGGTGATCGTAAACCGGGGGTCCATTGTATTTTCTTTTTGGGGATTTTCTTTCTTTTTTTGGGTCACCCTGCCTCGGTGGGAGATGGCCGACTTATTGAAAAAAAAAAAAAATTATATGAAGTATTGAAGGGTGGGTGTTGGGCAGCCACCCTTCAACAGGTTTGGTAGCTGAAATTTAAACCACTCCAGAGTGATTGTTATTAATAATTATTATTATTATTTATTACCATTTGAAATTTTTATTCACACACAAAATAGAAAATTTATTGTTATGCAGACTACTGCATTATTGTAATATGTAATTGTATAAATAATGTCAACCCATTCATGACCGCGTATTTGAATGGCCACTTGGACAGGTATTGGTTTACTCTTGAACACTCCCAAAGAACTGAACATTTCTGCTACTTTGAGCTCAATTTCAAGGCACTTTTCATCATGAAACCAATCAAAATCATATCTGTTCCTGTAATATCTTCTATTCTATCAATGAGACCATAAAAACGAGAATACAACCATAAAAACCATATGAAAAAATACCACTAAGGGGCAGCTAATGGCTGAGAAGTGAACTCCATTATTTATGGTCCGATTTCTTTGAATTTTGGTGTATGATAAGGAGCATCTCTCAATCAAACATTGGCCAAGTTTCAATACGATAGTCCAACAAACAACTGAGATCCAATTCCCTAGAACAAGAGCAAGAGCCCCTCACCAGCATCTAAGAACCTCCCTTGAGGCCCACTTGCATCTTAAAATTTGGCTCGCATTTTGAAGCAAAACATCGACTGAGCTATTGCTCATATCTTTAAAAACTCACATGTTGGGGCACTTGTAAGTAGAAGTTCCACTGTATAGGGGTACCAACACTTATATGGGTGTGAAGCATGGGTTGTAAATGCTGCAGTAAGGAGGCAGTTGGAGGCAGTGGAGATGTCCTGTCTAAGGGCACTGTGTGGTGTGAATATTATGCAGAAAAATCAGTGTGGAAATTAGGAGAAGGTGTGGAGTTAATAAAAGTATTAGTCAGAGGGCTGAAGAGGGGTTGTTAAGGTGGTTTGGTCATTTAGAGAATGGATCGAAGTAGAGTAACATGGAGAGCACATAAATCTGTAGGGGAAGGAAGGCGGGGTAGGGGTCGTCCTCGAAAAGGTTGGAGGGAGAGGGTAAAGGAGGTTTTGTGGGTGAAGGGCTTGGACTTCCAGCAAGCATGTGTGAGCATGTTAGATAGGAGTGAACAGAGACAAATGTTATTTGGGGCCTGACGAGCTGTTGGAGTGTGAGCAGGGTAATATTTAGTGACGGGATTCCGGGAAACCGGTTATTTTTATATAGCCGGATTCGAGTCCTGGAAATAGGAAGTACAATGCCTGCCCTTTAAAGTAGGGGTTAGGGATATTGGCAGTTTGGAGGGACGTCTAAGCTGTCATATCTGAACGCTTCTGCATGAGTGATGGTGAAAGTGTCGAATGATGAAATTTTTTTCTTTCTTTTTGGGTCACCCTACCTCAGTGGGAAACAGCCAATGTGTTAAAAAAAATAAATTTAATCTTATATCTTCTCAATCTTAACTATAGATATGTAGCACCCTCAAAGATACTTAAGATACAACTTCATGTAACCTGATACAAACACTTGCTAAAAGAATGAAGACAATTATCTCTATGCCACTTTATAGAGTGAAGTCAAGTAATATACAAGGATACATACACAAACATCTTACCAGTAATTGGGAAATCTACATATCTCTTAGTTTTTCCATCATAGTACTCTGTTCCTTTAATCACTACCAGATGTGCTGGGAAGTTCACTCCCCAAGCAAGGGTGGCTGTTGTGATGAGAATCTGCCAAAACAATATTAATACAAAATTAAACAATTAGATAGGATTAAATCATAAAAGGAAAACTGAGGGAGGCATTTCCAGTATCCTGTGCTACAAAATCTCTAATATATGTGAAGTGGCAAGACCAATGAGCTAGAGGCTTGATGACTAGAAAGATGATAGATGAGAGGGGTGAGAGAGGCTCTGAGCATTCTCTAACTGGCTGAGAAAGATGAACAATTTATACTGACAGAATTAGGCGTTTATTCCAGACTGAAAGTTTATGACACTGCAAAAAATACTTGACCAAAAGATCACATTTTACTGTCACACAACACATTTTTTTTTTTCCCAACATGTTGGCAGTCTCCTCACCAAGGCAGGGTGGCAAAAAGAAAAAAAACTTTCACCATCATTGACACAATCACGGTCTTTGCAGAGGCGCTCAGATATGACAGTTTAGATGTCACACTCCAAACAGCCAATATCCCAAACCCCTCCTTTAACCCCTTGACTGTTGCAACCCCAAATCCTGAGGTGTCTCCTGGTGTCGCAAAATTTAAAAAAAATTTCCTTATGAAATGATAGAGAATCTTTTCCCGATTGTAATGACACCAAAAGAATGAAATTTGATGGAAAACTGACAGAATTACGCTCTTGCGAAGTTAGCGGCCTCAGTGATATTTACGAATCTGCAATTTCACCCACTTTGAGCCCTATTTTCGGCTAATTCCATTGTTGCAGTCGACCAAACTCATAGCTATTTCTTTAGAACTCCATTTTTTCTATCGATTGAGTACAAGAAACTGCCCATTTACCGATTTCAACTACCCAATAACGTGATCAGAAATTTGCAATTTGGCCATGGCCAATTTCACGAAAATTAAAAAAAATGACAATTTCAAAATAGTGTCCATAATGAACAATGCAGACATTCCTGGCTCTAAAATAACATTTTTTTTGTTCATGAGTCATGTCTCCAGGCCTCTCTGATATTACTCTTGCTTTCTATTTTGAATTTTTGTTCAAACAAAAAATAGAAGATTTACTGTTATGCAGACTCCTGCAATATTGTAATAATTGTATAAATAATGTCAACCCATTCATGACTGCATATTAGAATGGCTAGTTGGACATTTATTGGAAAATGACATCATTTGTTTACTTTTGAACATCGGCAAAAATCAAACATTTCCCCTACTTTGAACTCCATTTCAAGGTTCTTTTCATAGTAAAACCAATCAAAATCACCTCTATTTCTATAATATGTTTTCAATTCTATCAAATGAGACGAAGAAAACGAGAATACAATCATAAATACTATACGAAAATAGACCACAAGTTGGCATTTAAAAAAAAAAAAAAAAAAAAAAAAAAAAAAAAAGGTCAGATTTTTTTTTCCTCATTATGCACTGTGTGCTGCAGGATTTTTTTTTTATATGGTGCACACTAACCACACATGTGGGCCTACCAGCTTTCTCCTGCTTGATTTGAAGCCACTAGAATTTATGAGCATATATACGTCAAAAATGGTGGCTTCTAAGACATATATATATATTATATTTTTTTTTTTTATTATCACACCGGCCGATTCCCACCAAGGCAGGGTGGCCCGAAAAAGAAAAACTTTCACCATCATTCACTCCATCACTGTCTTGCCAGAAGGGTGCTTTACACTACAGTTTTTAAACTGCAACATTAACACCCCTCCTTCAGAGTGCAGGAGAGTTAGAGGTATTGGGAAGATGGAAGGAATATTTTGAGGAATTGTTAAATGTTGATGAAGATAGGGAAGCTGTGATTTCGTGTATAGGGCAAGGAGGAATAACATCTTGTAGGAGTGAGGAAGAGCCAGTTGTGAATGTGGGGGAAGTTCGTGAGGCAGTAGGTAAAATGAAAGGGGGTAAGGCAGCCGGGATTGATGGGATAAAGATAGAAATGTTAAAAGCAGGTGGGGATATAGTTTTGGAGTGGTTGGTGCAATTATTTAATAAATGTATGGAAGAGGGTAAGGTACCTAGGGATTGGCAGAGAGCATGCATAGTTCCTTTGTTAAAGGCAAAGGGGATAAAAGAGAGTGCAAAAATTATAGGGGGATAAGTCTGTAGTGTACTGGTAAAGTGTAGGTAGATTAAAAATTGAAAGAAATTTAAGGAG